GAATTTTTACATATGCCTATTAGCCATTTGAGTTTGTTCTTTCAAAATATGTCCGTTCCATTTCCTTCACCCATTTGGATATTAGCCCCGTATCTGTTTTGTAGTGTGCTAAGCTTTTCTCTTTTCGTTTGTTGCTTCTTCACTCTGTTGATTATTTCCTTTGCTGTACAGAAATTTCTTAATTTGATGAGTCACATTTGTTTATTTTGGCTTTGACTACCCATGCTTTTGGTTACTTTTCTCAGAAGTCTTTCTCAATTGCTCTATCCTGGAGAGTGCATCCTATGTTTTCCTCTGAGAGTTGGATGGTTTCTGGTAGATTTAAGTCTTTGATCCATTTGGAGCCAGTTTTTGCATAAGGTGACAGGTGGGGATCTTGCTTCTTACTTCTGCAGGCTGCTATCTGATTGTACCAACATTTGTTTAGGGACCAGGCTTTTTCCCTGGAAGATTTTCAGTTTTCTTGTCAAATTTTAGTTGGCTATACATGCGTGGGCTCCCTTCTGGGGTTTCTATTCTGTTCCATTGATCTCTCTTTTTGTACAGTACCAGACTGTTTTGATGATCACTGCCCTGCAGTATGTCTTAAGGTCTACAGCTCTGATTCCTCCAGCTTGATTTTCATTCATCAGGTTAACTTTAGCTATTTGTGGTCTCTTGTGTTTTCAGATGCACTTTTTTATCTCCTTTTCTATTTCTGAGAAGAATGTTGTTGGGATTGCATTGAATCTGTATATTGGTAATATGGACATTTTAATGATGTTGATTTTGCCAATCCCGGAACATGGTAGGTTTGTCCATCTTTTAATGTCTTCTATTTCTTTTTTATAAAAGTTTTATAATTTTTATCATAGAGGTCTTCCACATATTTGGTTAGGTTAATTCCAAGTCATTTAAGATACCTCTACACTATTTTAAAAGGGACCTACAAGATCTTTCTCAGCCATCTGTGTATTTTAGTGCCATGGATTTACGTTGGTTAATTTTGTATCCTGAGTAGTGGTACATCAATTTTATGGAATACTACTCAGTTATTTTTTTTAAATGAAATTCTAACATTTACAATCAAATGGTCCTAACAAGAGACCATTATGTTCAGTGTAATAAGCCAATCCCAAAAGGACAAACTTCATATCTTCTCTCTGATAGAAGGCAACTTTCATGCAAAATGCAAGATCATTAATTTGGTAAAGATGTGTGTACACAGTCATCTAGAGGAATTGTTAAAAGACTATTATATAGAGATGTGAAGATACAATGCAGTATGCATCTCTACTTTCAAATCAAAGATGGACTACCAATGACACTGTAATATATATCTTGACAATAGGATGCCGGACTCTGCCATTCTCCATACCTACATGTCAAGATAGACTTAAATAGCTCAATGATGGGATTATGACCATTTTTGAAGGACTACACTATTGTAATAAAAGAGGGAGGGGAAATCCCAGAGCCTTTGGAACTTTGTCATAAAACAAATAAATACATTTTCAAAAACAAGAGAACTTCAAAAATATCATTGAGAATTGAATTAAATGTAAAATTATTTCGGAATAAAAAAGATAAATATTGTTTATTATAAAATAGCATTTTATTTTAAAGTAAAACATGTTTTCTGGGTATCATAGACCATATAAGCCCCGTAGTTAAATACCATGAGGGTATCTAATGATAATATTTTATTATCCAAATGCTTAAATATATTTTCCAATACCTGCTGCTATTTGTAAATTTTACTTTACAAAATACACTCAATTTTGGAGTTCTTATAAAAGTATTAGTTACACATTTTAATTATAAGGTATGTCTCTGAAACATATGATTTAAATGAGTTAATTTCTAATGTTGTAGAAACTTATTATGAAATTTAAAAATCCATTTATTACCCTATTTATTTTTAGAGGTAGACAGGTAAAGGACTCTGTCATCTATGGGTTCACTTCTCAAATGACCAAAAGGAGCTCAATCAGGCAGAAGATGGGCTCCTGGATCAGTCCAGTCCTCTCACTTGAGTGGTGGGACCCAACTGCTGGAGTTATCACTGCTTCTCCCACAGTGTGCCTTGGCAAGGGAGCCTTCCGGAGCTTCGGCCTGAAGCCACACCCAGGCACTGTAATACAGGACACAGGTTTCTGGGCAGCTATGCCAGATGTCTGCTTTTATGCTGAAACATGAGTAGCAACAACAAATTTGAATGCTGAGGTGGATAACAGCAGAATTTGTTTTAGCAACGGGTAATTCATTCACACTGATGGGCAGCTATCAGTCTTCAAAGCAAGAAACTTGATTCCAAATATTCTTATCTCCATTAACAAAATAATCCATATAATGTATTAATATTTTACATATTCTACTTCTTAAATGTTAAATATGCAGGGAACAGATGTTTACCATTACTGAACTTGGCAATTCTTGTTGGTTGAGATTAACGATACTCTCCATCTGGTTTGAAACACAAAGCAGTCTTTCGTACCTACTATAAAAGTTTAGTCAGGAAGAAATCTATTTGATTTTTGAAGTAAAGCATAAATTATGCATGATTTAGGTACAGTATACAAATATAAAGTGACACATAGCATCCACTTGAAATGCACATAATGCATAATTATGAAAACACACGGATGAGTATGTGAATGGTATCACTGATGTGGTTAAAATACTATGTAATAGCCGTTTATACAAACATCTAATCATTGATAGCACACAAACTGCTCTGATCCAGTGAGACAAAATAGTTAGAAAAATTTTGAATGCATTTAATACATTGTAGGAACGCATACGCAGTAAAATTAAAGGTATTTAAATCAGACAAATTAAAATTTTCTAAAAAAGTCCCAACCTTCATATTTTTACAATAGTATTGTCTTTCATAAATAGTCATAAGTCCATCATTCTGTTATTTAATTGTATCCTGACATTGTAGGTAGAGTGCCCAGTGCCCTATTGTCAGGATACAATTAATCTCCCAAAGATGGATTGGGAGTCCATCTTTGATTTGGAAGTAGAGATGCATACTGCATTGCAGTTCACATCTGGATATGACAGTCTCAATTACACTGTTACTGTGCATCCCCTTAAGGGAAAAGCCATAAAACAAAATCAACAACAGGATGAAAATCAGAAAATTTACAACATGAAGTTAAGTAACATGCTACTGAATGACCAATGTGGCGCTGATGAAATAAAAAAAAAATCAAAAACCTTCTTAGAGAAAATGATGCCACTGTATGACGTATGAGTCTGAAGAATTTAAAAAAAGGAAAAAAAAACTATTTTGAAGAAATGAAAATAAAAACATAAATATCAAACCCCAAGCAAAACAGTATTGAAAGGGCTATTAATCTTTTATTTTGCAAAGGAGGTTACCTTATATCAGAGAGAAGATACGATATTTGTCCTTTTGAGATTGGCTTATTTCACTGAGTATAATGGTTTCTAGTTGGGACCATTTGGTTGCAAATGGTAGAATTTCTCTGTTTTTAATGGCTAAGTAATATTCCATGAAATAGATGTACTATAGTTTCCATATCCATTCCTCTTTTGATGGGCATCTGTGTTGTTTCCATGTCTTTGCTATTGTAGATTGTGCTACACTATTATAAAAATATGGGAGGAACCAGTGGCAGAGGGGAGGAGATTTGGGAAGGAGATAAGGGAAATTTCAGTCTATGAATTGTATCATAAGATAATTTGAATTACTGCCTGAGAAATGGCTACCCATGCACCTTTACAACATAGCACACCATTTATTTTATCTCAGAAATCTCTCCTCATCTCCAGACTGGATTCAGTTTCTTATTGAATACTGTCATTTCAACTTATTTCTTGTAAAATCTATTACAACTGTAATTAAATCAAAATACTTAATGACTTCCCTAAGAAAACATGAGCAAGCAAAACAAAATTCTTCACTCCTTCTCTTCAACTAAATGACTTCAACAAATTAACATAAATACTTGCAATGGGAAGGCTGTGTTGTGGTAAAACAGGTTAAGCTACCACCTGTAATACCAGCATCCCACATGGACACAAGTTCTAGTCCTGGCTGTTCCGCATCTGATCCAGCTCCCAGTTAATGCACCTGGCGAAGCAGCAGAAAACCGTTCAGGTGCTTGGGCCCTTGCACCCCAGTGGAAGAAGCTCCTGGCTCCCTTGCACTCCTGTGGAAGAAGCTCCTGGCTCCCTTGCACCCCTGTGGGAGAAGCTCCTGGCTTTGTCCTGGCCGATTCCTGGATGTTGCAACCACCTGGTGAATCAGCAGATGAAGACTTTAAATCTCTCCCTCTCTCCCTATAACTCAGCTTTTCAGATAAAGAAAGAAACCTTAAAAAAATACTGGCATTAATGAAAAACACAAAAAGCTACAGTATAAATTTTTTAATTATCCAATTGTATGCCAAATTTCACCCCTGGAAAAAGGAACCAACATGGTTATCTACTATATGAAATACTAAATTTTATGTAGAACAAATTAGCAGTTTAGATGGTAAACAAGATTGTTATAATGTGCCTTAATCTTTTCAACACTTTGAAAATAATTTAGTAATTTGAAACTTAAGCAAAATCAGCAGAAATTAAACTTTTAAGATTACATACATAGAAAATGATCATAATAGCTTATACATTTTAAAAAATGCAGATTGGAGAAAAATGAATACTACACTTTCCAACAGAAGTCAGAATCTTTAAGATGTCAGTTTCAGTTTCACATTCTGGAGAGTAAGAAACTTGTCAGAGTAACTCATTTTCCTGACCACAGATTTTTTTTTTCCTTTCTTTTTTTTTTTTTTATGGAGAACCACTCGGAAAAAAAGTAGTGCTTTAATAGGCTTTGTTTGTTGAACATATACATTGCACGTGGAACCATTAACAAAAGATGATTTATATACTAAGGGATTTTTTTTTACAAAGCAGAAGTGTGTGCAAGGTGGCAGGCTAAAACCCACAACTATAGCACTCAGGCACAGGGCTTGTTATTGTCTTGCTCATCACCGTACCTGAGTTGTAGAAAAGGTCAGGTCTTTCGAGAATATCTCCCTCATGGATGTATGGCTCAATTCGGTCATCACCATACAGATACTGCTCACTCTCATCCATCTGACGACTCTCCACCATTTCCAGCCACTGAGAATTATGCCAGCGGAACTTCTCGCTCTGAATTTTCTTAGCCCATTCTTCATCATATTCCTATGGGAAAACAAGTAGGCAACTATTGGTATATAGTTTCTGCTTTGGAACTTAGGCAGCGACACTTTATGACATGAGAAGAAAACTGTAAGGGTTTTCATTTGGGTTAAAGGGAATAATAAAAAACAAACAAACCTGTCTATAACTACTAAAAAGGAATTAGATACATATATTAAGGAAATATCTGGACTAGTAATCAATAATGCCAATGACAGTCACCAGAGAAGTTTAAATTTTACAAAATAACACCTGAATGTTATCTAAATATTTCTAAGAGTTTAGGTAAGTAACCAGACTTTAGCTTCTAGGTATTTCTTGTGCCTACAATTATTTCTGGCATTAGTGGACAGGAGGCTATCCTTCAAATGACCTCATTTGTTATGCCATCAGTACAGATTACTGATTTGGGCGTAAGAATCACCAGAAAAAATTTCCTTTAATTGCTGAAATGGTTTACTACAAAAAATAGCATGATTTAATTTTGTTGTTTCAATTATACAGTATTTTCTTATTTAGTGAACCAAAATCCAAAATAGCCTTAAATCCCAGACATTTTCAGCATGAACATGATACTCAAAAAATTGTGGACTCTGAAGCATTGTTTGAAACTATTTTCTGATTTGAAAGGCATTTTTGGACAGAGTGGGACAGAGACATCGTGCAGAGATCTTGAATCGGTTGGGATTCACTCCCCGAACGCCGGCAGTGAGGTACAGGAACTCCATCTGGCTCTCCCACGAGGGTGCAGGGGTTCAGACACCTGGGACAGTTTCTGCTGCTTTCCCAGGCACGTTAGCAGGAGCTGCCTCAGAAGTGGAGCACTTGTAACATAAAAAGTTCTTGGTAAACGCCTCTGAAGAACAAACAGGCACAGCTCCTAAATTCAGCTACAGTTACAATCCATTGATCATCGGACCTTTTCCGTAAGTCATGGTTATTTGTGACTAGTATGAACACTTAACGATAGATACAATGATACATGGAAAAAATTCCACATATATTTTGCTTTCGTAACTCTAGAGTGCTTACTTTTAAATTCCTATGTCATTTCTTGAAATATACAGTTATACCTGTCTAAAATGAGAGTCAAAAGGGTGCCAAGCAAAAGCCTTGTTAAGCAGGAGGTGGATAAAACATATATTCTAGTCAAATGCTGAATTTTTACCTAACTTAAGTTCAAGGAAAAAAATCACTAGAGAATAAATACCTGGGATGTAAAAAAATGTATGGAATTTTACAGCAGATATTTATTACATTTTCTCATTAAAATTTTAAAAGTTCAATTTAGTTTGCACAACGTAAGAATTTATCAATAAGTCTGTAAGTAGCTTTAACTGTTAGACTGTATGCTCCGTATTGCACATTAAAAAAATAGACATTTCCTTTTTATTAAATTGGAGAAGACAGAATATATATATGTGTGTGTGTGTATATATATATGTATATTTCATATATTGCCTCCACCAAACTAACTGGGCTTTCCTTTTGTAATAGTGCCTAATATCCTATTACTTGTCAATGTATTTCCCAATATAATTACTTAAAACTAAAGTGAATAAAAGCTATTATAAATATTGCATTTTACTTTCATTAAACATTTGCAATTCAACTTACAGAATTTCAGTATTTGCAATACTAAAGATCTTTCACCCGAGGTTTATGTATAATGTTAACCTGTTTTTGAAAGCGATATAAACGAAACCAAATACCATACCTTTAAAATTTTTGTGGTTACTGATTAGATGTGATAGTAATTAAAACAGTCATCTAATCATTGGGCACACCCAGACTGCTCTGATAAAATGACAGAATACATAAAGTGTTTAGAGCTATTAATATTCATGAATTCAAGTATCAGCTTTCTAAAACAGGTGCTATAATTACTGGCATTTTACCAAGGAGAAAATGAGGCCCAGAATGTTGAAGTAACTGGACCCAGGGATTATAGCCATTTGTGACTTTTACAGTAATTTAAACCCAAGGCCTGTGGAACAAACTGTTCAACAGAAGATAAATGAACATGTGTAAGGGTCACTGAGAATGGACTCTTGACCGAGTGAGATTATACCAAATGACTTCTCAGGTCAATTTTCAGCTCCAGGATTTTGTGAATGAGGTGAATGTTGATTAAGCCTAGATAGTGGAAGAATTAGCTGCTGGTCTGCTAAGTGCAACATTTTGTTCCCAGTGATATTATTTCCGATCTAGCCACACTCAAAAGGGTAGTAGGAAAGAGGGAGTTGTAAATAATAAGCAGAGATGCTTCAATTAGCAGTTTTGTTGGTAATTGATTTTGGTGAGTCATACTGGGTGCGCAAAATTAAATGAAATATTGTGCTGCCTAATTATGTGCTAACACTGTGATCAGCTTCAAAGCAATTTAGCCTAAATGCTTTATATAACTCTGAATTGCTTTAAAATTTTATTTTCAAAGTACAGTTTTTGGTTTCTATGTGGCTCTTGGCATATGCTCAAATAGTTAGCTGTAAGCAGATATATCATCATATTTGAAGCAGCCTTATAGTTGGAAAAAAGAATGAACCTACTGTAGTCATTGAGCTCAAGCTCCTAATGCATAAGAGCAAAACAACACAGCATGTTTCAGAGAAGTATATCTGCATACAAATTAGCTTTTCATCAAGAAAAGTTAGTCACATGCCTTATAATACTATAAATCATAATGAAGGCATATTAAATACTGGTATATATTGTTGTTTCTTAACTGCTCGCTTCACTTGACTCAAGAGCCATAAAGCTGTTTGCAGGGGTTGGAATATGTGCATTGTGGCACTGGATGTTAAGCCACGGCTTTGGGACATCTGTATCCTTGCCTCTGCTTCTGATTGAGCTTCCTGTTCATGCACATGATGGGAAAGGCTTGGGTCCCTGTCACCCATAGAGAACCATATGATGTCCTAGGCTCCTGGTTTCAGTGTGGCCAGTTCAGGCTTTTGCAGACATTTGAATCAGCAGATGGAAGCAGTCTCTCTGTCACTCTGGCTTTTAGATAAAAATTTTAAAACTAAATAAATAAAACTAACTTTTCAGGCCCAGTGCAATGGCTCAATGACTAAATCTTCACCTTGCTAAACACTGGGATATATTTTGTGCTCTGGTTTATGTCCCAGCTGTTCCACTTCCTATCCAGGTCCTTGCTTTGGGCCTGGAAAAGCAGTAGATGGCAACCCAAAAAAGCAGTAGAGGGTGGCCCCAAGCCTTGGGGCCTTACAACCTTGTGGGAGACCTAGAAGAACCTCCTGGCTCCTGGCTTTGGATCAGTTCAGCTCCACTGGGGAATGAACCAGTGGACATATCTCTTTCTCTATGTAGATCTGCCTATCCAATAAAAGAAATAAAATAGTAAAAATAAAGATGGCCCCAAACCTTGTGCCCCTGCACTCATGTGGGAATCCTGGAAGAAGCTCCTGGTAGATTTCAGATTGGCTTGGCTTTAGCCATTGGCCATTTGAAAAGAAAACCAGTGGATGGAAGATCTTTCTGTCTCTCCTACTCTCTGTTAATCTGGTTAAAAAGAAAACGTTAACTTTTCAGTTTAGTAGAAGATTCATAATATTTTAATTATACTTTTACATTTTGTTATTTTGCTTTCTTCCTTTTTCTATACTTGTCATGTCATGATACATTTATATATCAGAAAGTTAAACATGTAACATTGAAATAAATGACTAGGCCTTTGTAATAAATTGGGGACAGATAAAAGGAGGGGAGAACCTGGGGTAGAGGTGATTCCCAATGCATGTAATCTGTACTCTGTGAAAAAATAAATCTGTATAAACAAAACATTAAATTCACTGCTACCTACTTACTATTGTTTCATTTAAATGGTCATTTTAAGATTAAAAATGTGATAAGGGAATCTTCAAAACAATAAAGGTATGGCTTTTTAAGGGAATCTTCAAAACAATAAAGGTATGGTTTCCCATGACAAAATCTCTGGCCTCAGCTACCTTCTATACACACTCCGGAAATAGTCAATGAATACAGTTTCACTGTCATGGCAAAGTCACAGTTTATTTGTATCTTGGAGCACGAATTTATAGATACTAATTATTTAAGATGTTGTAATTCAATGGCGGTGGATTAGGAAATGAGGAGAAATTAGAAGGTTAGTTTCCAGTCCTCCCTCTGTTGCTAACCAGAGATTACTAAATTTCTAAAAATACTTTATTGTTTTACTTCTGGGTCTCAGGTTTCATTCATAAGGTTAAACAAATCTAAAACTTAATGTTATGATTCTCATCATTGCTTCAGACAAGTGCTAAAATAATCATCTCAAATGAATGAAAATTTAGGCAAAATGGGCAAATTTCTTCAAAAAATTAAGCAATAACTCCAGATGAATATCCAGTGTCAAATTTCAAAATCAAATTTAAACACATATCAGTTAAAATAAACTCTGTCTAACATCCCTATCTTATATTATCTATTCCTCCCTTGTACCCTGCAACCATGTCAGGAAATGACTATGAGAATTCCCAGTCCAATTATAATCATATACTTTAAAAAAAGTTTTTCTGGAAATACCCTAGGTACAGTTATTTTTTTCCCACTTTTGAAGCAGTACTTTTTATAAGATGCACAGCCTTGTGTCCTGGTTTTGAGACTTAAGCTTCCCCCATATTTAAAGGAAGATATGTTTCTTCCATTTTTGTCTCAAATCCCAACATTAGGATCTTAAGCATTCATCAGTTCATTTAAATTCTAAAGTGTCATGAAGGACTATGGTTTGATTTTACATGGAATGTGCCACCCCTTTTGAAGTCCTACATCATTTTGTTTACTACTTAAAACACTGAAACATTATGAAGACTTAACCAGCCCATTATCAGAGCCTGTTCACTATCAGGGAAACTCTTTGTCACTGGTTTCCGTCACACCTTGTATCTGATTAACACGCTATAGGATAACACAGAGCTACATAGATCTGCTTTCTGTTCTGACATAACTGATGGAAAACAGATTTTACTTTCCTCTTTAAT